GCCCGCTCTGCTTTGGGGCAGCGCAGCTGTCATGGGCACGTGTCACCGGGAGCACGGGGACCTGTGCCACCAAAACCAGAGTTACATGTGCCACCGGGAACGGAGGGCACCTGTGCCACCAGGAGCAGAGGGAACCTGTGTCAGTGGGAACAGAGGGGACATGTGCCACCAAAACCAGACTTACATGTGCCACTGGGAACAGAGGGGACCTGTGTCAGTGAGAACAGAGGGGACCTGTGCCATTGGGAATGGGGGGTACCTGTATCACTGGGAGCACAGGGGGTACCTGTGCCACCATGAACAGTGGGCACCTGTGTCACCGGGAACAGAGGGAACCTGTGCCACCAAAACCAGACTTACATGTGCCACTGGGAACAGAGGGGACCTGTGCCACTGGAAGCAGGGGTGACCTGTGCCACCAGGAACAGAGGGGTCCTGTGCCACCAGGAGCAGATGGTACCTGTGGGGATGGACACCTCCAGGCCTGGTTGCCCCTGGAGATGGGTGCTGCTGAGGATGAGTGCTCACAGGGACAGAGGGCCCCAGAGCCAGTGCTGCTCTTACATCCCTGTCCTGTGACAGACATGGTAACACCATCAGCAGCCCCAGCTCTGGGAATGAGCTGTGCCAGCACCAGCCTCCTCAGGATCAAGCCCCTCTGCAGCTGCATTATCCGTGGGGTTTTCCAGCAGAGATATCCCAGCTCTTGCAGAGAAAGGTGTGGTTCTGCCTGGCAGAGGCAGCGGGTACCGCTCCCACGGGGACACTGTGGGCGCAGAGCAGGGTGGCTCTGAAATTCCAGCATCCCTGGAATTCCCACGCGGAATGCTCAGGTGTGGCCAGCRCTGCTGGGACCGTGGCCAGCTCCACGCCCGCATGGCACCGGCAGCACCGGCCCCTCCGGCTCGGCTCCCGCAGCTCTGCCACCTCCCGCAGTCAATAAAGGCTCTGCCACCTTGTGCAAGACGGATCTCCCGGCTCTCAGCAGCACAGCTGAACTTTCTGGACTTTCACAACCCACAAAACCTGTAATTAATCCTCCTAATGATCAGTTCTCCTTCCATCCCCATCAATCTAACCTGGGAAATGTTTACAGCTCAATAGTGCCACACACAGAGGYGCAGGGAAAATGAGATGGTGTTTTTTATGAGCTCTCCTCTCATTCCTGGTTCCTCCGGCAGCACAAATAAATCATCCCCTTTGAAACCATCCCCTGGGATCAGCCAGGCCCAGCAGCCCCACGCTGAATGATGGTGAAACAAGGCAGGAATGAGCTCGGCGTGTCCAAGCTGGCAGGAAAGCGCAGGGCTCCGTTTATTCCCAGTTGGAGCTGATCACTGCAGTGGGAATGGCTCTGCACTCCCAGCAGGGATCACCCAGCACGAGGGGCACCCCTGAGCCTGGGCACAGCTCCCTCCATGCCCAGCACAAGGTGCTGGGGGTGGCCAAACTGCCCTGGGAAGCAGAGCCTGGCTGTGCCCAGCCCGGTGAGCTCCAGCTGTGGGGTGGAAAGATGGCTGTGGGACGGAATGTGGATGAACAGCAGTGCTGACAGCGAGGAGGACGCTGAGCGGGAGGAAGAGAATCTCCCTGCCAGCTGCTGTCATGGCTGGGAGGGAACCAGCATCTCAGGAAAGCCAGGAGTGGTGTCCAGCAGAGCTCCGAGCAGGGCGAGCTCAGGGAGTGACCAACACCTCGGGAGAGGGATGGGCTGAGCGGGGACAAAGGGAAACCACCAGATCTGTGCAAAACTGTCCAACATGGAGCCACGAGTGAGACACAGGCTCTTGGCATCTTAGAAACGTGTGTCCTACAGCAGAAGAGACCYAAAAGCACAGGGAAATCGGGGAAAACCTCCCATTCTTTAGGAAGCTCTGGCAACTCCATCWCTTCAAAATGCTCCTCACCCTTCCCTCAGGAACAGGCCAGGCTGGGCAGGCTCAGGGGATCAGCTGAGGACATCCCAGTTTCTGAATAAAGATGGATTTTGTGGGCTTCCAAAATCCCCACCTGGACCTGCCAGGGAGCCTGAAGGGCGACTCTGATTTCCATACCTGGGAAAGTCTTCCCAGCACCTGCATTTTGGATTAGTGTTGCAACAGGATCAAACCTAAAGCAGGACACAGGTGGAATTCTCTGTCRCTGCTTGACCGAGTGCAGGGTGGGAATTGGAAGCAGATGTTGACTGGAAAAGAGCTCCAAACCCTTCCAAGCCGGTGAGCTCACAGGTCCCTGGACTGTCTTTGCTTCCAGGCAGGCACAATCCAGACTTAAATATCTGCCCAAATCAAAACACACAGAAATTTAAATGGAAAAATGCTGCCTGAGCAGGATCTGCTGGATTTACCCAAGGCTCTGCCATTCCAGGCTGCAGGAACCTCTCTGTGCTCTCTAATTTATTTTTTTTCAACGAGGCTTGGGAGGGATGGGAAAAAGCAGGATGGAAAGAACCAAAGGAATTTTGTACTGTGTGAGGATGCACCTTTTCAGAATGTGTTTTCATGTTCTTTCCAGCTCYTTCTCCATCAGCTGCAGTGAAAAAATGCAGCATTTCCCTGTGACCCATGTCCGTACCAAAGGATTCACCAAGCTGAGTGTTCCAGGACTGGCAGAACAGCCCGGAGCTGTGCACCAGAGGCACAACCAGAGCCCCCAAAATGGAGGGATCACAAAATAAATGTCCCATTTCAGGCTCACAAGGTGCTCAGGCAAAGATCCAGTGCTGAGTCAGGGCTCTACCAAGTCCCCTATGATCTCTACAATAAACAGATTTTTTTGGGGGAAAAATGCCTTTTAAAAACACTGAGGTCAAAAAAATCAATAAACCCGGGTCACGCTTGAGAAAATGTTTATGCTTAAAAAAGAGCATTTTAAAAAGAATTCAAACARCTGTTTTMCCYCTTTTTGAAATATTTCCTGYCYTTTATACWTTTTTTTTTTAATTTGCATGTTCCCAATGTTTTTAAAAAGACATTCAAAGGTGTTAAAACATTCACTCTGACCACCCAAAAGATTTTCTACCCACCGTGTTTTTATTGCGCTGAATCAAAAGAAAAACTTTTTGGTTCAAATAAACTTGAAACAATTCCTTCTCCTCCCCGCCTCCCTCCAGTTTTTTGGTTTAGCCAGTGAGTGGAAAAATCAATTATTCGCACTCCTCTAGCCCGATAAAAAGCTTCAGGACTCCACAAAGAGGCTCAAGGGAGCACTTGTGCTTTACAGCAAATAAAATGGTCTCCGAGTTTCTCAGCTCTCCTCCCTGATCACCCAGGATTCTGTGCTGAGATTGGCACTTCTGGGGTGACACGGGGAGTGGAGGGGACTTGGTGGGACCAAAACATTTTCACTGGTGGAACTAAAATACCCTCCTTTGGGGGGACATCGCATCCTCGTGGGTGGACATCACATCCTCCTTTGGTGGGACATCATATCCTCCTTTGGGGGGGCATCACCTCCTCCTGGGGGGATAAAGCATCCTCCTGGGGTGCATCGCATCCTCCTGGGGGACATCACATCCTCCTGGGGGGCCAAAACATCCTCCTTTGGTGGGACATCATATCCTCCTTTGGGGGGACATCACTTCTTCCTGGGGGGATAAAGCATCCTCCTGGGGTGCATCGCATCCTCCTGGGGGACATCACATCCTCCTGGGGGTATAAAGCATCCTCCTTTGGGGGGACATCGCATCCTCCTGGGGGGACAAAAGCATCCTCCTTTGGTGGGACATCACCTCCTCCTGGGGAACATTAAATCCTCCTTTGGTGGGACATCACCTCCTCCTGGGGGACATCACATCTTCCCTGGTGAGACCTCAAGGCTACAAAGCGTGTCTGGAGCCAGGGGCTGAGCCTGTTTCCACAGTGACAGACACCCGAAGGGACAGCACCCAGTGTCCCCCACCCAGCCCCTGGTCTGCAGCTCCTAAAGAGCCATGCTGCATACAGGGAATGAGCTTGGAAGAACTGTAATAGAGAAATAATGCCATGATTTTCCAGGATACGCTCTCCAAGCATCTTTTTGGTTTGAGGGTTTTTAGGAGTGAATTTATGTAAAACTGCAGCGGAAGTAGGTTTTTTTAAGCAACCTACACATTAAAAGTAAATCAATATTAATTTCTGGAGCCTTTTATTTCCAGCCTCCAGCTGGCTGCTGCGTTTGCTTCAGCACTGTAAAATCTGKTAGGAAAGGAGAAACACTGCAGAGGAAGGCCTGCGAACCTGTGACAAAGGAATGTGACACGCAATGCCATCACTGTGACAGCTGCTCTGGGTCATGTCCTTCTTGTAAAAGGTTTCAAGGAAATGAAGACAAGGAATGCAAAAAGGTGAAGATGGGGATCTCTGTGTTTCATTAAACAAACTCAGTCCAGGCGAAACCTGGATGGCCTCTCCAAAGGTCAGYMGGGATGGAGAGRGARCCKTTCYACACCAGGAGTCAYGGAATCCKGGAATGGTTTGGATTGGAAGGGAACTCACAGCCCATCCAATTCCAACCCCCTGCCAYGGGCAGGGACACCTCCCACCATCCCAGGGTGCTCYAAGCCCYGTCCAGCCTGGCCTTGGACACTTCCAGGGATCCAGGGGCAGCCACAGCTGCTCTGGGCACCCTGTGCCACAGGGATCCAACCAGATGGCTGCTGCTGGAAGGGGTTTGGCCCCGGGGCTCCATCAGCTGCTGCTGCCGGCGTCAGTCCCTGTTCCGGTGCCGATGCCGGTGCGGGTCCCGGTGCCGGTGC